TTGTGGAAGAGACAATAGAAAAAGTAAACAGGTAATAATCTATTTACAGGCTGTGTCGAGTGCTATTATTGGAAAGCCAGTCTGGTGTATTGAAGAACTGTAATATCTATTATTAATACAACAGTGAGTGAAGCAGAAATCTGCTAACGAGGAGCTGAGCGTCTAGGAATTTACTGAAGACCAAACAATTCTCAGTCTTTTGGTAAAAATGATAACTAGGATGTGCAAGTTACAGTTGTCTTAGGGGTTTGGTCCTACACTAATTATGGTCCATTACAAACTAACATGCCATGCAGTATAACAGTTGATTTAATGTAAAACAAATAGTACCTAAAGAACAGGGAATTGTCTCTGCTAGTGCTTCATGAGACTGTTTCCAAAGGGATTTCGTGCCTCCAAGTTAGTTATTCTTTCTGTCCATGTCAAATGAAATTTGAAGCAGAATTGAAAATACATAGCTATACAATGATATTTAATTGCTCCGATGGCTACTACTGCAATTTTAGGTTTGATGTTTTTATTTGCTGCCAGCTTCTGTATATACTGCACTAATGTTTGCTAGCTGGCTTCAGAATTAGGACTAGAAATTGAAGAAGAAAAAAAATAAAGAAAACAAGAGCAGTATTCTTTATATTAACAAAAGACGTCTCTTTCCTTTTTTGAGTGTTTTTATTTCAGAAATACAGTATTATTTGTTATTTTTTTGATCCAGGTTAAATCTGTGAGTTCTCAAGGCCCATACATCCTGGCTTAATGGCAGGATCACCTAACCTGGGAAATGGCCTGTCATGAGACCCACAGGGTTTAGTTTCACTGCGATGGGGGTGTACCCCTGCCAGGGATTTCTCACTTTATTTCCTTTGGACTGCTGCTGCCAAGTCTCTGATTCACATTTTCTGGCTTTCCCTTGCTCTTTAAAATTGATGATGCCTAGGACAACTGAGTTAGAGCATAACTAGAGCAGTATGCTGATGAAGAAAGAGAAAAATGGAGTCACACTAGTTCCCACAACTGGAAGTGTCTGTACTTTTGTACACTTCCCCCTACTCCCAGTACGTATTTCTCCAAGAAGTGTGCAATTCAGCACATACAGATATTTGAATTGTAATAAGTACTGGTTTTGATCTATGGTAATGACAATCTTGGCTGGATTCCCCCAGAAGCCAACCCTGAGTTTCCAGGGTAAGCATTTTATACAGGAGGTGACAGCAGAAAACTGCAGGAGAGGAGTGGGGAGGCCAGCAAAGGTGTGCCATGAGCACTTTACTGGGGGAGATAGAGCACAGCCTCCCTGGGGGCTCTACAATTCCACAGACCACCTGTCTCCAAGCTATCCCGCCCAGGAGCTAACATGCTAGGGTATTTACACACTATCTCCTTGCCTGCTGTTGTTTGAGGGCTGCTTCTGGGTGAATGAACCCTCTCGGCTTCCAGCTCTCCCTACTCCAGAAGGAAGGGCCTCAGGCACAAAGAAAGGTTCAGGTTTTCCCAAAAAGCAGTCTCCAGCTGAGGGGATTTGGGTGGGGCACTGGCAGCCTCTATGGCTATCCCCACTTTGCGTTGCTCAGATCCACTGGTACACAGGTCCTATCTTTGATTCCTTCTGGTGGTGTCCAGACACACTTTACTATGATAGCACTAGCCTAGTGCTGCAGTTGGTCCTGAGGTCACAGTGATTTTCGCCATTGTCTTCCTTGATCGCCCATCTAGATTCTCCTTATTTACAACTGGTACTTCTGTGACCCAGGTTGCTTGTTTGATGATGTGACATAGATTGTCTTCCCTGTAGGGTCTGAGACTCCTGTTAGAGCATCTTTGTCAAGCCAGAGTTGCTGCATTGCCTATTTACCAGTATCACCAGGCAAAGAAATGATGCCCTATTTCCTTCTGATAACCAGCGTCAAATTTTGTTGCCTATATGAGAATCCTAAGTGAGGAGAGACCTTTAGATTTACTGGAACCTTGTGTCTCCTGGCAGAGCATCTTCTGCTCACCCCAGGAGCCAGGACTCTAGGTATTAGGGGTGCAATACCATACACTGGTATTAAGTTACAAGTATGTACCACATCCCACAGCAGAGTGTTCCAGTCCCACAAACCGTCATCCCAAGCCAGAGCCTTTGTTGTGCTTTTTCGGGGCATGCTGATGTCCTGGCTAGGTGACAGCTCTGGGTGTGTGACCTATGAGGAATCCGGGGGATCATGTGATCATGGACCCTTTGCCTACCTCTTTCACTCTTAACAGGATCCCCGGTCCACTGTGAAATTATGGGAAATCCCATGATAATAAAGCAAGACACTGTAAGCAGTTGGGTAGGCAAGGTGGGTAGGCAAGGTGGGCAGGCAAGGAGGGCGTGCAGGCAAGGAGGGCAAACCCAAACCTAGGATACACATCTCGTCCTGTGGAGATCACCTTGTCACCACCACACTGTCTGGTTTCCTCGAGGGATGGCACTACCTCCCAGGCTGTGTGTGGGTTTCTGCAGCTGTAGGGGGGGCAGAGGCACTATCCAGGTCTGCTGTGGAGGAGTCCCTGCAGCCTGCATCCTTCCTCCTATGCTACCCCACTCACAGGTCGACTGTACAGAGCCTCCTGGCCTGTGGTGATTGAAGCATCCCAGTTTCTTGGTGCCCCACTGTGGATGCTCTCTGGTGGGTGTACACACGAGACATACAGATGGGCCACAGATTGAGTCTGTGTGAGGGGCATATGTGAGCGGGTGCAAGGCTTTGCAGCAGCCTCCTCACCTCACTCCTCTCTGTGCCATGGTTATACGCTACTCCAGACTGTCTCCTACCTTAGGGAATTTCTACACCAGAAGCAGATACATACTCTTGGTCACATACAGTCCCAAGGGCAGCCCAAGTCTGCCAAGAACTCAGAACAGCAGCAAGCACAGGTTCATGGGTTCCTCAGTCTGGAGACTACTAACCCAGATTAGAACCAGGTCGGTGAATCACCGTAAGACACCGTAAGAAGTGTCTCACTCCACTTTTGGGGGGCTTTCTTTATAATGTGGGGAGACTCTAGGGTGAATATATACTACCTAAAAAAGACACTTGGCAATCAAAAGGGCACTCTTAATCATTAAGAGGATAACAGACGTAAACCAGAGTTATCTCAGGCAAAGTGGGACATATGACCAACATAGTTATCACTCCTCTTTCTTGCTCCAGGGAGCTAATTTGGGGACAAGTAGAAGGATCTAAGTACCCTGTCATACCAGCTTAAACTTGCTCCAGAGGCCCACACATGGCTTGGAGTGTGGTGCTATCCTTTGAGGAAACCAGACAGCCTGTTATGACGTTATTTCTTTACATAGACTATCAACTCTCCCGTACCCTGTCCCTTCTGCTATGTCAAACCCCAACCTCGGATACATCTAATTTTCTACTAACTCCCTACCTACCCCAGAGCAGCCAAAATACAAGCAGGCTTGCTAGTTCCCTTTTAAATGTAGCACACACATCTCATGTGGGCTTTCCACCCTGGCAATCTTATTACATTTCTTTAGTCATTCACCTCACAATATCCATGCTTCTCTTCAACTTTCCCTTGCCCTATCCCCTGTATAGCTAGAGGATCTTGCTGATTCTTTCGCTAGCAAAACAGAAGCAATCAGCGTATTTTCTCGTTTTTACTCTTACCCATAGCTACCAAACCAGCACACCTGTAGCTTTGTATTCCCTTTCCTGCTGCAAGGCTGAACTCCACCGGCTCCCACCTCTCCCCTTGTACAGGAGGAACTTTATTCTGAATGTGCTTCCTCCCATCTCTCCTGCATCAGCCCGCACACAGGCCCCCTTTCCTGGCTGTCCTTCCTCACTGGCCTTTCTGAATCAGTTCCTTCCTCTTCCTGATGTCTCTGACCCCACACTTCTCAGTCCCAGACCTCTCTTCCCTTCTCTCCACATTCACTCCCAGGAGATCTTACCTAATCCACAGCATAAATTACCACCCACCAAATTCTAACTTACAAAAGAGTATGTCCAGTGCAGACCTCTCCCCTGGAGCCACCCAACAGCTCCTCTGGAATGTCTAATTGCATTTAACATTTTAAAACGTAAAGTTTTAACCTTTCTCCCTCAGTCTTTCCTATTTCAGTTAGTAGAAGCACCACTCTCCTACTACTTAGATCACTACTTTAGAGTCATTTCTCTCTCTCAGCCCGTGGCAAGTTCTGCCAATTCCATCATCATCAACAGCACACCCTCACTTTCACAGTTGTCACCGGTGGCTTCCTTTCTGATCGTCCCTAGTGCAGACCTCTGTCCTTGCCTGCCCAGACTGCTGCTGTACTTCCTCTCACTACACTGTAGCCTAGGGAGGCCAGCAAGCGGAGGAGGGGAAGTGACTGCTCTTGGTTCACTCCAGTGCCTGCACAGCACCCAGCAATGGAGGTGTTAACACCATGGCCAACAACACTCCAGGGTTCCAGGCAGGAGATGCAAAGTCATCTCAGCAAATTCCACGGGCCTGTGGTCTTCGTGGGACACCTAACCTCCCAGGGTCTCCGAAAGAGCCACAGCCCCTGACCTGGTGTATCCCCCTGACCCCAATGTATCCTCCTGAACCCCATGATTCCCCCGTCCCCCCCCATTCCTCTGCCCCGGTGCAGCCTGGACCTCAAAGCATCCTCATGACACGGTGCATCCCGCTGACCAGGTATATCCTCCTGACCTCAATGCATCCCCCTAATTCGGTTCATCGCTCTGACCCGGTGAAGTTGTTGTGAATTGTGGCTCCACAGACTCACTGTCACCCTACAGCCTCTGTGAGACGACCCAAAGGCAGGGGATGGACAATTCACACAGTCCCCGAGGTCGCATCTTTCAGCACCCTACCCTCTACCCCACACGAAACCCTTCTAAATGCTAAACGCATTTACTAGCGTGGGCTTGGGCAGATGGGTCGCCGGTACCCCCCGGGCTGCCCCAGTGCCGCGCCTTCCGCCTGCCCGCCCACCGGTCCCTCCGGGAGAGGCTGGTCCATCGACCGCGCGGCGCTCGACTACCCGGCGGATTGATGCGCTCGGCGCTCGCGGCGGGCGGAAGTGAGGCTCCGGCAGCTGGCAGTCCGCGGCCCTGGAGGCTTCCGCGAACCTCCCCCGGACCCCTGTCTGAGCTGGCGGTGGCGGCGGCAGTCGGGCTGGAGGTACGTGTGGGAGCCTGGAGGTCCTGGCCGAGGGCGAGCGGGGTCTGGTCAGCCGCGCGGAGGGCACGGCCGGCGGGCGTCTGCCCAGGCCTGAGCTGGGAAGGGCGGCGAGCCGCGCTGTCCTGGCCCACTCTGTGGTCGGGAGAGGTTAGCCCCGACATGCTGGTCGCAGCTGGGCCCCTTGCACCCTTGTGCCCCTGCGTAGTTGTCGCTCTGTCGGGTTTGAGAATAAACTCGTGGAAAGTGCACGGGAAGCCTTTGTCGCCTGTGTGCTTAGGTGTGCGTCGGTTTAGGCTGTATTGCTTACTTAGTAGGCGCCTGTCACTGGCTCTCGTTTGCATGCACCTCACAAAGGGTAGATGCTGCTGTATTATCCCATTTTACAGATGGGAAGACAACGGTTTAAGTGATTAACTCAAAAGAGCATGAAGTCGTGGTGCTGTTTGAAACGGAGCAGGACGGCTCCACAGTTGCGCACCTAGTCTCCTCGAAGCCTGGTGATGGATGGTACCTTAACGTTTTGTAAAGAGACACTTTCCTAATTCCAGTAACAGTTTTTGAAAGAACTCATCTTTAAATGGAAACAAGCAGTTTTTAATGTGCTAAAGGTCAAACTAGTAATAAATCTGGGAAAATTTAAATTTGATATCTTTATGAGTCTGAATCACACTTTAAATTACTTGGGTGCATTATAATATGGTGTTGATAGGTTAGTTCTAACAGATGATATGGACCTGTCTTCTAATGTATAGTAATATTTTGTTTATAAATTATACTTATGCTGGCCCAGGGTTTGCATAACTTCTTTAATGACAGAGGAACTGAAAGCCAAATGCTTCAGGATGATCTGTATTTTATTACAAGTTAGTGATAATAGAGAATGTGTGCCTAGTACTTTAAACGTTCTCTTCTGTTTGATTAAGTAGAAACTTAATACATTTAATCAAAGAAGCAGAGACTCCCCCAGTGTAACTTGGGAGCAACTCTTGTAAGTTTTAGAAAATGATTTGATTTTTTTTTTCTTGTCAAGTATTTAATTTCTTATACTGAATACTATTTTGAACTACAGTTGACTCTTGAACAACACCTGTGTTAGGGCGCTGACTTCCTATTCAGCCAAAAATTCACATACAGCTTTTGATTCCCCCAGACTTTCCTAATAACCTACTGTTGATTGGAAGCCTTAGAGATAACATCAACAGTCAATTAACACATATTTTTATGTTATGTGTATTACATACTGTATTCTTAAAATAAAGTAAGTTAGTGGAAAAAATGTTATTTAACAAATCATTAAGGAAGAGGAATTATATGTACTCTTCATTAAGTGGAAGTGGATCATAGTGAAGGTCTTCATCCTTATCTTCATGTTGAGTAGGCTGAAGAGGAGGAGGAAAAGGAAGGGTTGGCCTTGCTGTCTCAGTGGTGGCAGACTGGAAGAGATGGAAGGGGGGATAGGAGAGGTTGGCATACTTGGCATTACTTTTATTGAAAAAATTTCGTGTATAAGTAGATCTTCACAGTTCAAATCTGTGTTGCTGAAGGTTCACCTGTATTACCTTTCTAAAAGATTGTTATTAACCTGCTGGGTAAATTTTCATTCATTCTACAAATATTTGAGAGCCTATGAATCTTATGGGAAATGAAATTGATACTCAAAATTTTTTTGCAAAGGCAGTCTTCTAGTGAAGGACTTTGTAGTGTCAGAAAGCAGCATGATTAGGTCAATGCTAGGTGCAGAGTTACTCTCTCAGTTACCTTTTCTCTCATTCTCCAGTTTACCCATGCTAATGTAGCCAAGGTTCCTAGCATAGCATTTACCAAATAGTAGCTGGTTAAATTTTTATTGAATGGATGAGTTTTAGTTAGTGTGGAATACAGAGGATTTTGAAATGCACTGAAGTAGGAAATAACATTGATCACTCTGCTAAGTACATGATAGAATGGTGATTATTGTCAAACTCTGGGGAGTATGTTCACAAGCCCTCTGGACTGTCTGCTGAAATCACATAGTAGGAGTGTCCACTTATAATAATATGCTTTAGAGTATATTTATGTTAATTTAAAAGAATTATTAATATGAGTACACAAAGTAATTGTAGAGAAAGTTTGAATTTTGATAGCTACAAAGGTATCTTTGGATCTTAATTTGAAAAGGTATTTTGGTTTAGATACCTACAAGGTATCTTTGGATCTTAATTTAAAAATCATAGAGTTAAAAGGTATTTTGGTTTAGGTGTCAAAGCAGCCTTTACTGGTCCTTGGGCTGCCATTGGCCTGCTTCACAGCATTGGCTGAGTTGTGTAGCTGCTTTGGACTGTTGCCTTCCTTGTATATTTAGAGAGTACACAAACCTAGATTATTTCTAGTTTTGACATTTTCTAACTTACTGAATCCTATAATCACTTAGCACTTGTCTTATCCCTATGCTGTGTTAGGGGCTATAACAATTCTTGGTATTTACATACTAGTCAAAAGACCAAGCTTATGCTGGATATGGATTAACATTAATTATTTTTGTATCTCCCAGTCTTAGTAAATGCCTGACACACATTCTAAAAATGAAATAATATTAGCTTAGATTTAGAAGGTGCATTTTTGCCCTCTCAATTAAAGAGTAACTAAAAACTAAATTCTGTAGTATGGAATGTAAGAACAGCAGGAATTGAGAGGAGAGAGTGCTCTACTGGGGTTAGAATGATTGGGAAGCTTCAGGGAGGTGAGAGCACCATGAGCCAAGAAAGCCAGAAGGCCATTGAGTAAGGGTATTTGGATTTTGGAGTGGCTTGAAGGGCAGATAGAGGAGTTGAAACTAATTGTTTATGTAATTTTTTTCTGGAAAATTATAACAGGGCATCTCAAGAGTTTTCTGAACATTCTTTTACCATTCTTTAATACTTTTTGATAGCTTTTATGATTAAAAATAGAGCCTTCAGTTTGCTTTATTTTTGTTTTTGGGTTTAGCAATTCCTTCTGCTTATTCTTTTCTTCCTGTGATAAGTCTTGGTGCTATTAATGGAGAGGACACTGGACACTTGGACTTGGGAAGTCTGGATTTCATTTTATGAAGTTTTGAGCTTTACAGGGTGGATCTGGGACCAACTAGAATAGTGTTCTGCCCATAGCAAACATGCAGTGACAAATGTGCGGTGATGAAGGCTGTCTCTTTGCTATTTGCTAACAGTGATGCTGTGGCAAGGTTGGCCTGTAGGTTCATCTGTAAGCTTCAATGAATTTTACAGGCCTTTTCCAGTTTTAAACTTATGTAATTTTTGGAGGGTATACGATTTAACTCCCATTGTTTTATAATTTTACTGAAAGATAAAATAAGACAAAAAGCTAGGAATATTTGGTTTTAGTTTAATTTTAATATAATCTCTGTGTGAATGACATGATGTAATATCTGTATAAGTCAGGGTCTCAGCAGGAGTCAGAAGTCATGCCAGATGGTTCAGATGAAGATTTAATAAAGGGATTACATGCAGAGGTATGGGCAGGGGTAAGGAAATAGACAAAGGGTGGGGCGGTGCAAAGAGAAGCTAACAAGAACTGGGGAAGTAACAAAAGGAGAGGCTGCTGGGTGCTGGAAGGTGAGCGTGGAGGAGGGTGCATTGCTGAAGAGGAGGGTGCTGGTGGCTGGGGGACCAGTGCTGAAATGCCCAGCCTTGGCACTGGTCCACTTCTGAAATCCAAAGCTCAGGCTGCCCACTGTGTGCTGCACGTGCAGTCTGTCATCTCTCCCACTCATCTCCATTACACTTGATCTGTTACCTCATTAGGAGGTTCCGTGAATGTCATTGCCCTCATGCCAGTGTGCTCAGTTCTATGTTTGTCCTTCTATTGCATCTGGTGGGCAAATTCTCAGGCCTAGATAATCTCAGCTCTTTACCTTCTATAATGTTTGGCCGGGGTTGCTGGGACCAGCTGGGCAAAACCAGAGTATCCAGATTTGTGCTCCTGTGTATCTGTGTTTACCAGTCTCACTGGCCCATCAAAGAATCTTCTGGAGTTTTCCTTATTAGCACCTGCTTCCAGTCCCTGCAAAACTGATTTTTGTCATTTTTCACACTTGTCAGACATCTCAACCTCTCACATCACCTACACTTATAGCATATGATAATACCACCTCCTTCATAAATGATAGAACTATCTGAAGAGAATCCCATGGTTCTTTCTGGCAAAAAAGAGACACCCCAGTTACAGTGGAAGAGATTGTATTTACAGTCAATATTCTAGAGCTGGCTGTGGGTCCCTTTCACTCTTGACTCTGTGAGGACTCTACTCAATTTTCATGTCTTGCTAGATGGTCCTTCCTGTTGGCCTTTGCATATCCTTAGACACAGAAGAACAATAAAGCAAAACAGAAAACAGCGTACTTAAAAAAGTACAATCCTCCCTTTGTTTCACATTACTTTGTTAAAATTTTCCTTTTCCCTTACCAGCGAGATGTCTTGAAATAGGTGTTTGTAGTCAAATTCTGCTCACCTATCTCACTACTGTTTGGTTTTAGCACTCATCAGTCACCTCAAAGCCAAGGTTATCCACGACCAACTCATCACAAAGTCTTGCTCGTATCGTATCGTTTCTGCAGTGCAGTGCCTGGGACATAGCAAGTGCTTAATAAGTATTTATTTTGACTGAACAAATCTGAGAGTTATTTCCTTCTCACAATCCTAGTTTATCTGTGTCTCTCTTTTTCTGAGATATAGGAGTCCAACACTGTCATCTTTTGACATTCTGCTGACTAGTCTCTCTATATCTTAGCTCTTCTTTATGGACTAAGCAGATAGAAAGGAATTTTATTTGATGATAACTTATTTAATCTTGTCCAGGTGGTCAGTCTTCCTGGGAAAAAGAAACAGTTGCACACTTTTTTCCTTAAAAATTACCTAATTCAAGAATTAATGTTTTTCTGTCTGTAGGGATCTAATAAGGAGGGAGTGCTAGAGCCATTGGGTACAACTGGCAATAGGTTCACGACTGAATAATGCTAGGCTCTT